ACAGGAACACGGTATAATTATAAAGAAAGGTACGAATGTGAAAGAATAGATTGCTCACCAAATGATCCATAATAAAATCGTAGATCTACGAAATTCAGGAGAAAAAAGATGTGTTATTCTTCCTCGGGATATCTGTAAGAAAAAGATCAACTAGAGTCAACCTGGTCAGTTCAGCCTTTCTTCCTTGATAGAAAATTGTCAGTGCCAAAGATTTTTTTCACGGTTGAGGTAGATAACAATGGTGCGTTTCTCCGCCATAACATACCTCGTGTTTTTCTGTAACGACTAGCTGTCCTGGAGGAAGTTCTTTCTTGTTTTCTTTAGCGATCCTCTGTAGAATACACAAAGCTTTCTCTGGCTTGCCAGCTGTCATGTAGAAACGAGGAGACTCTGGAACGAGCTAAAAACAAAAACCGAGTGAGCGGGATATTAAAAATATTATCATATGACATCATTTAAAATACGGATGAAAATAGGTTAATGAGCGACTTGAACTTCCCTTCATATTTCTATCGTTTAGATATTCTTGTGGCCATAGTTTACTGTGATCAACTTGACCACTCAGTACTGTTAAATAGCACTTCTAAAATCAAACCTTCTTTACCATTCCATATCCCACCTTTCCGTCTTTTTTTCCCTTGAATGCTAATATGGGTCAATTAAAAGTTACTCTTTAAACAGTGGATGATTCTCTTTCTGCCTTACCCGAAGACCAATGTTTATAACATCTTCGAGTCGGTTTATCGACTACAGTTCGGTTAAAATAGCGTGTTTCTCACCTTACTACAACAAATAAAAATAAACAGAGGAAGCGAGGAGATGAAGAACAACCATCTCCAGCCCAGCGTGGGCATCACCACGAGAGCGACAAGAATCTCCAAGCAAGATCCTAGAGACCATGATAACTGCAACGAGAACAACAGAACTTAGAATGTGTTAGTCGTGTTAATCTAAAACATAGAGGCTGATATGACCGGACATTGCTAATGTTGTGGGTGCATGTTTACGTGTTAACGAAAGAGATTTCAGTGAAGGTTTGATGTGGTTTACGCATGGTTTAGTGTACGTACGCGAGCGTTGGAGGCCGCCTCTACATTTGATTTTCGAGTGAAATACACGCGCTGATGTTCTGTCGTAATCTTGTCGCCAATTCCGAAATAGAACGTGTTGGCTGTGTTTGCTGTGTACAGTACGAAGCACAACCCTCTTATAAAGGAACATTTCAGTGCAAAATACCAAAGGGAGCTTGATTTTCGAAATCTGGAGGCCGATCGTTCTTCTAGACTACAGAGAGACGAAAGAGTTCACTGAATTCTACTGATCGCTTTTAACAGTACGTATATATTGCTTTCAGATACAAGCCACGCCTCAAGTTCAGTCTGTCGCCAGACTAAAGAATATGCAACACTAAGCAATGCAAAGCATTGCGGGGTATTTACCGAAAGAGCATTTAGCGAGACTCCTCTTCCTTTGCTTGNTTTGCTGTGTACAGTACGAAGCAAAACCCTCTTATAAAGGAACATTTCAGTGCAAAATACCAAAGGGAGTTTGATTTTCGAAATCTGGAGGCCGATCGTTCTTCTAGACTACAGAGAGACAAAAGAGTTCACTGAATTCTACTGATCGCTTTTAACAATACGTATATATTGCTTTCAAATACAAGCCACGCCTCAAGTTCAGTCTGTCGCCAGACTAAAGAATATGCAACGCTAAGCAATGCAAAGCATTGCGGGGTATTTACCGAAAGAGCATTTAGCGAGACTCCTCTTCCTTTGCTTGGTAGGAACTCAGCCCAAAGATTCATGCTAAGATAATAAACAGATACATTAACAAGTAAACAAACAAGCACCACTCGGTACAAATTTGAATCTCTAGTTATAAGCAGTATGGTTTTATTGTTTACATGTCAAGCAACCATGTTTCTTGATCCCGTTGATGTACTTAATTTAGTTTTTGGTTGGTAGTTTTCCTATCCTGCTAATTACTCTGCTGAAGGCTCCGTCCATGACGTGAACACCGAAAGTGACTTCACCATTTCTGTAACGAGTGATACTTAAACCAACGAAAACAGAGAAATCTTACAAGTACAGTGGAATCTTTACTAACGGCCACTTCTCTGTAGGGACCAACCCGCCACAACAGCAAGAATTTTTGTACCAACCCTGTCCCGATCCTACTATTTACCCTTAATTAACAAAATCAACCCTCTTCCCTCCCCTTACGTACAATGGCAACCTCTGCACAGTGGCCAGTTTATTCTACCCCAGGCTGACCGCCGTTGTGGACAGACTCTGTACAATAATTTCCACACAATATATATCAATTGGTTCACGCATGCGTCTTACCATTGGGCCACGCCTCCCATTCCCAGTCCCACCACGGTACTGAACACCATGATCCAAAAGTAGTTTGGTGCAAACGCACTCAGCAAGGCACCAACAAAAATGACAACAGTGCAAGCCAGCACTTCCTGTGTGGAACAAAAAACATGTGCAAGTTGAAAAGGAAACTTCTTCTGAAATCATTGCTTTCGAAATGTCTCTACAGAGGCCTCTTTAGTATATGCCTACAAGTTCGCCTTCAGGATAAATTGCCGTGACTGAGATTGGGAAGAGGCGAATGTAAAGCACAACCGTTCCTCTTCTCTTTGTTTTTCGTGCGCCCTCTCTCTATCACTTCGATCTTCCCTTCTCTTCAAATCCAGTGTACAGGAGAAAACGGATCGAAAGCGTCTGATGTCTTATCAGTATCAGTGTTTGTTTTAGAGTAACAAGGAGTATTTTTACCTGTCCTGGATAGGTAGATGGTACACAGTTAGGTACTCCCAATATTTGTCACTTTGTTTGCGAGATACGCTTGAAAAGGTTAAAAATATTAAGATGCATGAAAAACAAGATAAGAAAAAGGCCTCTTACTATCTTCCTTCCAAAGTTATCTGAAACGTAGCCCCAAATGCAAGTGCTTATTGTCATTCCGGCGAAAACGGCCTGCGGAGAGATAATGAACAGATAATGATAATAGATTAGTGCTGTGAATATAATTGGTAATGTATTGTTTAAGTGAGGTTCACGCACTGTATCAGTTCTGAATCAGGAAAATCGGTGGGTTGGACAGGCTGTTCGAACCCATTAACGCCGATAGCCCAGGCCGTATTCTTGTTCACTAAAAGCATCAATTACTGCTAATTAAGGAACTGCTATTTAAAATAATAACAATATATTAATCGCTATTGATAACATAACACCAAATTTAAAGCAGACGCCACTTCCTTATTCATTTCTGACATACCGTAGTGACCGTTGCTTCTTGCCACGTGGCCAAATTCCACTCACATCGGATTGCAGGACATACGATAGCCAAAATTGTCACTTCCATCGAGTCTGCCATCTAAAAAGCAAAGTCAGAGATCTTCGAAGTGCACGACAATCATTACTTTTTACACGCTACTTAGCTAGCTTTCATCGTTGACTTCAACCTCTTTAAACTATATGGTGTACGATATATCGAGATTTAGCCCAACTGAGTACTTTTGCATTTTCTTACAACATGTGATAAAGAATGATCATAAGCGGATCTAGGAGAAGACACTTTCAAAGACTCACCCAGGCCAAGCCGATTACAACCATCAGTTTTACTTGAAAAGGTCCATAACCGATTTTGTCGATCGCCTCTTCCACAGTGTAGGTAGCTTTACTTTCTAAAAAAGGAAATAGTGGAGAACTAGACGGAGATCATGATCAAACTTACCAAATGAAAAACAGGAATAAGAAATGACTAGAACGCCTTTCTCTCCACTAAATTTCTTATCATAATTAGAGAACTCTAGCGCGCTCATTGGTCGAAAGGTATGGTCGGCAAACTTGAGAAATTTGTCAGCACATTTGCGGTTAGCACATTTGGACCGAAATTGCGACCAATTTGTTCTTCAAGAAGAAGAAAAGACCTTACGAACTGCCTCGCCAGCGCACAATTCCGTTCTGTTGTCCTTCTAACTGGCCGGCAAATTTTCTGTTGTTTAACAGATCAACTCCATTTCCCCATTCTCTTATAGACCATAGGGATGGTCCCAATTTTTGCGGTGAAACCACGTGAGTATTCAACCTTGTGTGACGTTATTTCAATCTAACAGTGCAGACGATTTGTTGAATTTAACCGAATTCAATCAGGTAATTTTCTAAAATCTAACTTCTAGGCACGAGCTTGTAATTACTTTCAAATCAGTTACCTTATTAGTGTAACTGACTCCACGCGATCGTCAATAACCGCGAGTACACTCGCGAGGAACTCGTTCGATCGAGCAGGTTTCCACGAGTTACGAGTGCTATAATTGTTTACGTAAATTAACGGTAATGCAGAGCCATTCTTTTACTCACCCTGCTCTGAATTCTGTGATATAGTCACTCCTGGATCGTCTTCTTCGGCTGTTAGACCTAATTTATCATCTGGAGTTCCCATAATGGTAAAGGTTAATCCCCTCAAAGGGAATCAGCGTTTTGCAGTTATCTCAACACGATCACAAGCTTCTTGAGATCCGCGAAATGATTAGCTATCGTTCTGAAACAAAGCGATCTTTTTTAAAGAAATATAATTACGTCTTCTGGTGTCTGATTTTCTTAGGGAATAGGCGAGTCACATCACTAAGTTCCTTGATTCAAAAGATGCTCTGTTCCGATTAATCGAGTCGACTTCGTGAAGCAGGTACCAGCCTGTTTTGATTCGACTTAGCAAATCCATGCATAATTGACGCCGATTTTTTTTTCACTACATATAAACATCATACACGATAAGCGAGAACCAATTCCTCCTATTAAGATCACTTAATATAATTTATTACCTATCGGTTAGTTCGTCGTGTTACAGATCCTCAAGTCGACAGTTCAATCGTTGATCATCGAGCTAGTGCCGTGTTCTTCCGCTAAACTTTACTTTAGGCGACTTAAGGCCCCAGAGTAGGCCTCTCAATACACTCTTTTTGCCCAGCTGCTTGGGATACCTGTGACATACGTGGTGCTCGGGATAACTTGAATATGAAAATGCTGAATATGTTCAAT